CTTTGAATAGAAGTTTTTACTTTGAGGAAGGAAAACAGTGGTGTTCGTCTCACAGCATTATGAGTGCACTTAATGCTCCTGAATTGCAGAATTTTAAATGGGAAAAGGCTAAACTTTATTCTTGTAAACTTAAAACATATAACTAGATGTTACTCTAATAATAAAGAACAAACCTGACTCCATATTAGGTCTGTTATTTTGTCTTTAACCCTGTACCTTGTCTTCTAGGCTTAGTCTTGCTGGCTCTGCACATTTTGTAAAACAATGTTGCCTTTAGCCTGTCTGGTAAATGAAAGAGCTTGTTCTCAAGGCTCTGACCTTTAAGCATATTAACACTTTTGCACTGATATAAAGACAATAAGTTGCTGTATAGAAAATAATTTGTTCTGTTAGAGGTTTTGCAGGGGCACGATGACCTGACCCACGTGGAAAGCTATTGACCAAGAAAATGGTAGACTACGACCTGGAGAACCATCTTCCCCATGTCAGACTTCAAGTTCCTTTTCTATTGAAAAGGGGAGGGGCTGTGGTTCGTTGCTGCAAACTTCTTGGTGTAGGATTTCTTTGCTCTTGGAATCCTTTGCAGTGGTCCACGTGGGCCAGATCATGGTATCCCTGTAAAACCTCGAAGAAAGCAAAGGTTATGTTCTATCCTGCAACTTGTTATCTTTATAGGAGAGCAAAAGTGTTAATATCCTTAAAGGTCAGAGCCTTGAGAATAGGCTCTCATGCATATTTCAGGCTCAAGGCAACATTGTTTTACAAAAGGGGCAGAGTTAGCAAGAATAAGCCTAGATAACAGAAGACAGGTTTAAAGGAAAAGGAACAGATCTAATATGGATTCAGATCTGTTCTTTTCTATTACAGTGCCTTTTGGTGAGAGGTAAGAGGATGTTTACAGGTGGGTCCTCCTCTGCCCCAGGCTGGGGTTCAGGCAGGAGTCCTTCCAGGTTCACCATGACTGTGGACTTGATCTCCTGCAGAGAAAGTAACAATTACTGGTGATTAAAATTGCAGTCAAAGTCCCTTCAATTGCCTGTAAACCATACCATGGCAAGGGGCATCTCATGGGCCAGTCAATGGTCAGTCTCCCCTGATGCAAGGGACCAGCAACATGGCGGGTTCCAAGGTGGCCTGGCCAGCGAAGCTGCCTGCTTTGTTCTCCAGCCTTGGCTTCCTAACATGAACACTTTAAAAGCTCCCATCCCTCTTCCCTTTGGCCCACTGTGAATGAACAAGGTCCCTGCACCCACATGGGCTGAGACCACGCCATGCACACAGCCCTGGGCACACAGCCAACTGCCTGCTCTCCATCTCTGGGCTTAGCTGCACCCTCCAAACACCCCAGTCCCTGCAGGTTGGCGTTCCCAGTGCTTCTGCCCTAGGGGTCTGGATCACCATCAGGACCATCAACCACCCCAGGTCCACAGGCCAGTTGCGGGCAGCCAGAGATCACCCTGACACTCAGACTCAGATGAGGCACAGCGCGCATGGTTCAGGACACCAGGGCGGGAATTTTTTCTGCCTCCAGCTCGGCCCACCTCGCCCTGTAGCCTCAGACACTAGCTATGCAGGTGCACACTAGGCCGGAACCCTCGCTGGTGGCAGTCACCATGGGGACTGGCGTCCGGACTACCAAACCCCAACCACGGGGTGAGTGGTGAGTCATCTCCAGGTAGGGGTGCACCAGGAGTGAGGGGGGAACCCGCGGCTAAGGGGGTACAGGCTGAGAGGTGACGGGCCGCTCAGAAGGAACAGACCCAGTTGAGGGGTGAGGGGGACCACTTCGGGATGTTGGAAGTCCCGGGGTGAGGCATGAGGGTGAAGTTGGGGTGTAAGGGCCATATGTTAGGGCCAAGCAGGTTGGAGGACGTGGCAGGGACCTCGGTGTGAGGAGAAGGAGCCCCATCTTCGGGGTCTGGTGGGAGACTCGGGCCTGTCCAGGATGGGAGGATAGTTTCGGGAAGGGAGAGGCTAGCAAGGGTAGTGGGGCTGAGGCTGCGGCCCGGCCCAGGGCGGTCGTGGTTTTGAGTGCCAGGACCCCATTTGTGGCGGTATGGGGGCACTGGAAATGGAGATCTGGGGGATGGCGGGCAGCGGTGTGGCAGGCAGGAGAGTGTGCCTGCAGAAGGGTGGGGTCCCAGCCCACCGCCCCACGGCTGGGCCCCACCCAGGTCCTCCTGGCCCCAGGTGCCACTTCAGGTACTGCAGGGGCCCCAGCCGAAAGTCCCCGATGCCGGCGGGATGGGGAGGGGCGCACGTGCGCAAACGTACAGACATGCGGACAGCGGAACCCGCGCAGAGCGTGTGGCAGCCAGGTGGGAGCCAGGTGTTCCTGGAGCAGCTCCCTGAAAAGAAGCACAGCCTGGAGTCTGGGCCGAAGCTTACAGTCTCCTCCTCTGCCGCCGCCTGGGAGGTGAAGGGGCGCTGGATGGGGCACAGAGCCGGTGAGTGCGGGCTAAGCTGCGCAGTTGGGGAGGCACATGGGTAGGGGTGCTTAGTTGAGTCCCGAGCCACGAGGCCCATTAGGACCCTGAGGAGGGTCTGAGGCCGCCGCCTGTTTCGTGGTGCTGTCCCCTCTACTTAGTAGTCCCTGAACCCCGTGTCTTCCCTGACTCTTAATCCCGGGTTTGGGAAAATGGGTGTGGCCCCGGAACATCTCCAACCGGCCCTCACACCATGGCCTGCTCCCTGGAGGCTGGTGCGGTGCAGTCAATGGGCGGCGGCTGAGAGGAGGGGTGCCTGTCCTCAGGGGGAGCAGGTGGACTTGCTCCCATCTCCTCCAGGGCCTGTTATCAGGGCGGCCTCTGCTGCCCCGGGTTCAGAGACACATATTCATGCCAGCCCGCTCCTGGGAGCAGGGTGCAGTGCTGTCTAGGGCAGCGTCAACGGCGAGTAAGGACTTGTGGAGGACAGGGCTCCAGCCCAGGGTAACTCACTCCCCTTTCTTCTCTTGCTTCCTCAGATGGTGGCAGTAGCGGCTTTTCCAGTATAGGTTATTACCAGATATTGAATGTAAGTTTCTGTGCTATAGAGGAGAAACTTTTTTTAATCTATTTTCATATATATTGGCTAACATTTGTAAGTCTCAAACTCCCAAATTTATCCCTTCCCACCCCCTTTCCCCGGTAACCATAATATTGTTAACTATGTGTACGAGTCTCTTTCTGTATTGTAGATAAATTCATAGTGACCTTGTTTCTTTCTTCTTTTTCTTTAAGATTCCACATGATATCATGTGGAGTGATATCATATGGTATTTTTCTTTCCCCTTTTGGTTTGCTTCACTTAGAATGATATTCTCTGGGTCCATCCACCTTGCTGCAAATAGCATTATTTCATCCTTTTTAATGTCAGAGTAGTATTCCAATGCATAAATATACCACAATTTCTTTATCCTGTCATCTGTTGCTACATTATAGGATGCTTCTATGTCTTGCCTGTTGTATATAGTGGTGCTATGAATATTAGAGTACAGGTCCCTTTTCGAATGGAGTTCCCTCCAGATATATACCCAGAAGTGGGATTCCTGATTCATAGGGTAAGTCTATTTTTAGTTTTTTGAGGCATTTCCATACTGTTTTCCATAATGGCTATACCAAACTACATTTCCCAGTGACAGTGTAGGAGGCTTCCTTTTCCTCCACACCTCTCCAGCATTTCTCATTCATGATGGCCATTCTGACTGGTGTGAGGTTATACCTCATTGTAGTGTTGATTTGCATTTCTCTGATAATGAGAAGTATTGAGCATTTTTTCATGTGCCCATTGGCCTTATGTCTTCATTGGAGGAATGCTTGTTTATATCTGCTGCCCACTTTTGGATTGGGTTGCTTGTTTTGTGTTATGAACTTGTGTGAGCTGTGTATATACTCAGGAATTTAGGCCTTTGTCAGTTGCATCATTGGCCGATATTTTCTCCCATCCCGTAGGTTGCCGTTTTGTTTGCTTAAGGATTCATTTGCTGTGCAAAAGCCTGTAAGTTCAGTTGGATCCCGTTTGTTTATTTTTTGCTTCTATTTGCATTGCTTGAGTAGACTGCCCTAGGAGAACATTGCTGAGAAGTATGTGAGAGAATGGTTTGCTTATGTTCTCTTCTAAGAGGCTTGTAGTGTCTTGTCTTATATTTAAGTCTTTAAGCCATTTTGAATTTGTTTTTGTGTGTGGTGTGGGGGAGTGTCCTAACATCATTGATTTGCATGCAGCTGTCCAGTTTTCCCTGCAGCATTTGCAGAAGAGACTGTCTTTACTGCAGTGTGTGTGCTTGCCTCCTGTGCTGAAGACTAATTTACTGTAGGTCTGTGTTTATTTCTGGGTTCTGTGTCCTGTTCCATTGATCTATATGTCTGGTTTCATGCCAGTACCACACTGTTTTGATTATTGTATCTCTGTAGATTCATCTGAAGTTGTGGAAGGTCATTCCTCCAGCTTTATTCTTTTTCTTCAATATTGATTTGGCAATTTTGGGTCTTTATGAGTCCATAGGAATTTTAGGATTATTTGTTCTAGTTCTGTGAATAATATCCTGGGTAACTTCATAGGGATTGCATTAAATCCATCAATTGCTTTGAACAGCAAGGCCATTTTAACAATATTGATTCTTCCAATCCAAGAGCATAGTATTTCTTTCCATTTCTTTAAGTCATCTTTAATTTCTTTAATCAGTATTGTGTAGTTCTCCATGTATAAGTCTTTCACCTGCTTGGTCAGATTTATTGTTAAGTATTTTATCATTTATTGGTTGTGATTTTAAAGGGGATTGCTTCTTTACTTTCTTTTCTTACTATTTCATTGTTAGTGTAAAAAATGCAACTGATTTGTGCATGTTAATGTTGTATCCTGCCACCTTGCTACATGTTTTTGTAGTTCTTCTCTGTCCTTCTTCTTTCATACTCTTCCCTTAAGGGTAGTTGATTTTCTTTATTGTTACATTTCTGCTTCTCACTTGTTTTTGCATATCTAATGTAGGTTTTTGATTTATGGACACCATGAGGTTCACATAAGTTGCTTTGTTACAATATCTGATTGTTTTAAAGTGATTGTCATTTAAGGTGACATAAGTTCAAAAAAGATCTGCTCTTTGACTCCCTCTCCACTCCTTTTTTGACTGTATTGTTTACATCTTCTTATGCATCCTATAAGTGTTTATTGTAAGTATAGTTTTTACAAAGTTTGTCTTTTAGTCTTTCTAGTAGCTTGTTTAAGTTTTTGATTCACAGCCATTGCTCCATTTTTGCCTTTAAAGTGGGATTTCCCCCTTCACATAAGTTCTCACTTCTTGTTCTTTTTCACACTTTTTAATACTTCTTGTAACGTCAGCTTAGGAATGATGAGCTCTTAGTTTTTGCTCATCTGAGATGCTTTTTAATTCTCTTTCAATTCTGATTAATAGCTTTGATGAGTAGGTGGCCTAGATTCCAGGTTTTTTCCTTTGGTACATTAAATATATCATGGCTGTTCCTTCTGGCCTGCAGTGACTCTGCTGAAAGCCAGCTGATAGGCTTCCACTATTTGCCTCTCCTCATGACTACAGTGAAACCACAACTGACTGCTAAACAAGCATCAAAAAAAAAAAAAAGACTGGATCCTAGCAAAAGAAGATCTTCAGTGGAAACACAGAGACGGAACCATAGCAGGATGGTAAAAGGGGCATTCTCATGATAAATGTGGACCCCATATCCCTCACTGTGGGCAACTCACAAGGTGAAGAATAAGTCACAATGAACCTCCAACAGGAGTGGGAATTATAAGCCCAGCATCAGGCTCCCCAGCCTAGGGTTCTGGTATTGGGTGGAGTAGGGGACCCCAGGACAACTGTTTTATTTTTTTTAATATTCTTTTTATTTTATTTTTCTATTGAGTTATACTCAGTTTACAACGTTGTGTCAATTTGCAGTGTAGAGCACAATTTTTCAATCATACGCTTATTCATTGTCACATCCTTTTCCACCATGAGCTACCACAAGATCTTGTATATATTTCCATGTGGTATGCAGTATAAACTTGTTTATCTATTCTATATATACCTGTCAGTATGTAAAAAATTTGAACCCCCAGTCTGTCCCTTCCCACCCTCCTCTCTCCTGGCAATAACAAGTTTGTATTCTATGTCTGTGAGTCTGTTTCTATTTTAAATTTATGTTTATTTGTTTTCTGTTTTTTGTTTTTTTAAGATTCCACATATGAGCAACATACGGTATTTTTCTTTCTCTTTCTGGCTTACTTCATTTAGAATGACATTATCTAGGGACATCCATGTTGCTGCAAATGGCATTATATAGTAATTTTCATGTCTGAATAGTACTCCATTGTATAGCTATATCACATCTTCTTTGTCCAGTCATCTTTCTATGGACATTTATGCTGTTTCCATGTCTTGGCTATTGTAAAGAGTGCTGCTGTGAACATTGGCGTGCAGGTGTCTTTTTGATGTCAGGTTCCTTCTGGATATATACCCAAGAATGGGATTCCTGGGTCGTATGGTAAGTCAGTTCCTAGTATTTTGAGAAATCTCCATACTGTTATCCACAGTGGCCACACCAAACTGTATTCCCACCAGCAGTGTAAGAGGGTTCCTTTTTCTCCACAGCCTCTCCAGCATTTGCCATTTGTGGGCTTTTGAATGATAGCCATGCTGACTGGTTTGACGTGTTACCTCACTGCAGTTTTGATTTGCAAATCTCTGATAATTAGTGATATTGAGCATTTTTTTCATGTGCCTATTGATCACTTGTATTTCTTCTTTGGAGAATTGCTTGTTTAGGTCATCTGTCCATTTTTGGATGGGATTGTTTGTTTTATTCATACTAATCCGCATGAGCTGCTTATATGTTCTGGAGATCAAGCCTTTGTGAGGTTCATCTTTTGAAAAACTTTTCTCCCATTCTGTATGTTGTTGTTTTGTTTTGCTTATGGTTTCCCTTGCTGTGTAAAAGCTTGTAAGTTTACTTAGGTCCCATTTGTTTACTCTTGTTTTATTTCTATTGCTTGGGTAGACTGCCCTAGGAGAACATTTTGAGATGTATGAGAGATAATGCTTTGCCTAGGTTTTCTTCCAGGAGGTTTACTATATCTTGTCTTATGTTTAAGTTTTTGATCCATTTTGAGTTTATTTTTGTGTATGGTGTAAGGGAGTGCCCTAGCTTCAGTGATTTACATGCTGCTGTCCAGTTTTCCCAACACCATTTGCTGAAGAGCCTGTCTTTGTTTCATTATATGTTCTTGCCTCCTTTGTCAAAGATTAGTTAATGAAAACTTTGTGGGTTCATTTCTGGGCTCTCTATTCTGTTCCATTGGTTCATATGTCTGTTTTTGTACCAATATCATGCTATTTTGATTACTGTAACTCTATAGTATTTTCTGAAACCTGGGAGGGTTATTTCTCCAGCTTCTTTCTTTTTCTTCAGTAATGCTTTGTCAATTCTAGGTCTTATGTGCTTCCATATAAATGTTATTATGATTTGCTGTAGTTCTGTGAAATATGTCCTGGGTAATTTGATAGGAATTGCATTAAATCTGTAGATTGCTTTGAGCAGGGTGACCATTTTCACAATATTGATTCTTCTACTCCACGATCATGGGATATTTTTTCCATTTTTTTAAGTCTTCTTTAATTTCCTTAATCAGTGTTCGTATACTTTTCCATGTATAAGTCTTTCACCTCCTTAGTTAGATTTACTCCTGATAGTTTATTACTTTGGGTGCCATTTTAAAGGGAATTCTTTCTTTACTTTCTTTTCCTGTTGATTCACCATTAGTGTAAAGAAATGCAACTGATTTTTGAATGTTAATCTTGTAACCTGCTACCTTGCTGAATTCTACTATTATTTCTAGTCGTTTTTGTGTGGACCTTTTAGGGTTTTCTTTATGTGGTATCATGTTATATGCGTGTAGTGACATTTTTACCTCTTCTTTTCCAATCTGGGTCCCTTTTATTTCTCTCTCTTGCCTGATTGCTGTGGCTAGGAGTTCCAAGACTATATTGAATAGGAGTGGTGTTAGTGGCCAGCCTTGTCTTGTCCCAGATTTTAGTGGGAAGATTTTGGGCTTTTCACCGTTGAGTACTATGCTGGCTATAGGTTTTATTATGTTGAGGTATGTTCCCTCTATACCCACAATGGTGAGAGTTTTATCATAAATAGGTGTTAAATTTTATCAAAAGCTTTTTCTGCATCTATTGAGAAGATCATGTTTTTTTTTTCCTTTCTTTTGTTGATGTGATGTATTACACTGATTGATTTGCATATGTTGAACCATCTTTGTGTCCCTGGGATGAACCCCACTTGATGATGATGTGTACTCTTTCTAATGTGCTGTTGGATTCTATTTGCTAGTATTTTGTTATGGATTTTTGCATCTATGTTAATCAGTGATTATGGTCTGTAATTCCATTTTTTGGTGGTGGCATTGCCTGGTTTTGGTATCAGGGTGATGGTGGCTTTATAAGAATGAGTTTGGGAATATTCCCTCCTGTTCAGTCTTCTGAAAGAGTTTGAGAAGGACTGAAATTAGTTCCTCTTTGTAAGTTTGGTAGAATTCCTTTGTGAAGCTATCCGGTCCTGGACATTTATTTGTAGGGAGGTTATTTATTGCTAATTCAATTTCATTTCTAGTGATCAGTTTTTTCAAGTGTCAGTCCCATTAGATTCAATCTTGGTGGTCAGTATGTTTCCAGAAACTTGTCCATCTCCTGTAGGTTATCCATTTTGGTTCCATACAGTTTTGCATAATATTCTTATGTGATATTCTGCATTTCCATGTTTATTGGTTGTAATTTCTCCATTTTCCTTTCTTATTTTGCTTATTTGTGCTCTTTTTTCTTCTTTGTGAGTTTGGCCTGAGGTTTGTCAATTTTATTTACTCTTTCAAAAAAACAGCCTTTGGTATGATTGATTTTTTCTATTTTTTTAATCTCTATTTTATTTATTTCCTCACTGAGTTTTATTATTTTCTTCCTTCTGCTGACTTTTGGGTGTTTTTGGTCTTCTTTTTCTAGTTCTTTTAGCTGGTGGATTTTATTGCTTATTTGGGATTGTTCTTTTTTAAGGAAGGCCTGTATTGCTGTAAATTTCCCTCTTAGCATTGACATTGCTGCTTCCCATAAGTTTTGTGTGGTTGTGTTTTCATTTTTATTTGTCTCAAGGTATTTATTAATTTCAACTTTGGTTTCCTCATTGAACCATTGGTTTTTTAATAGCATGTAGTTTAATTTCCATGCTTTCCTTTTTTTCTTCTTTGTTTCTCTGTAGTTGATTTATAGTTTCATGGCACTGTGGTCAGTAAAGTTCCTTGAGATAATTTCTATTTTCTTAAAATTGTTGAGGCTTCTTTTGTGCCCAAGTACATGATGAATCCTAGAAAATGTTCCATGTGAACTTGAAAAGAATGTATATCCTAGTTTTGGGGAGTGCAATGCTCTGAAAATACCCACCAAAACTAATTTTTCTATTGTATCATTTAATTTCTCTGTTGCCTTCTTCATTTTCTGTCTGGAAGATCTGCCTAGTGATGTTAAAGTGGTGTTCAAATATTCCAACAATAATTGTATTCCCATCAATTTCCTCCTTTGTCTCTGTTAGTAGTTGTTTTACATACTTAGGTACTCCTATATTGGGTGCGTATATATTAATGATTGTAATATCCTGATATTGTATTACTCCTTTAATCATTATAATATGTCCTTTTTATCTTTCTTTATTGCCTTTGTTTAAAGTCTATTTTGTCTGAAATCTGTACTGCGACACCTGCTTTTTTTGGCTTTTCCATTTGCATCGAATATCCTTTCCATCCTTTCACTCTCAATCTATATGTGTCCTTCTCCCAAAAGTGTATCTCTTATATGCAGCATATTGAAGGTTCTTGCTTTATTATCCAGTCTGCCACTCTATGTCTTTTGACTGGAGCATTTAGTCCATTAGCATTTACAGTAATTAATGATAGATGTGTATTTATTGTCATTTTCAACTTATTTTTGCATTTGATTTGGCATTTTCTCTTTGTTCCTTTCTTCTTCCTTTTGTGATTTGGTAAGTTTCCTGTGTATTATCTTGGATTTCATTTAGTTTGTTTGAGTCACTTGTAAGCTTTTGGCTTGTGGTTACCCTTTTTTGTAAGTCTATTAAACTATTACTGTAAATGTTTGTACTAAACAAATAGTAATATTAGCTCAAACCCATCCTACCAAGAACACATTTTTTTTAAAAGAAGAAAGAAAAACAAAATACTGTATGTTTTCTTGCTTCCCTCTACTACTCTTAATGATTTAGATGTCTTCTTTTACAATTTTATATTTATTCTATTTGTAATTCATGGCAGTCATCTCCTTCCCAGTTCCGAGTTTCTCATTTTTGTAGCATCCTACTTCTTTTCTATTTAGAGTAGACCTGTGAATATTTCTTTTAGCATGGGTTTAGTGTTGTTAAACTCTTAGTTTTTCTTGTCTGTGAAGTTCTTTTTCTCTCCTTCTATTCTAAAGGATAGCCTTGCTGGATAGAGTATTCTAGGCTGCATATTTTTTCATTCAGGACTTTGAATATATCTTGCCACTCCCTTCTGGCCTGTAGTGTTT